AAGCGAGCAGACAGTGTTCAGGCAGCGCTTTGAAATGGGCTGGAGTGAGTCTGCTTCCCGTCTATCTGCTCAGATCTCCATTAGCTCGCCATGGGTTGCACTCTGTCCCTCAGCAGCAGGCGGCAAGATTTTCTGTTATATACTGCCACTTGTGATAACTGCCTGTACTAAAGGTAGTGAGTCTTGCAGCATTAGGTTAAGAGTAGTTCAGTGCTCTTTGACATGGTCAGCCTCAGATCACGAGCAGAAGAATGAAATGACAGTGGTGCGCTGGAGACTGACCTGTTTGGAGGCACGTACACCAGCCCGGTTCAGCCGCTGTGAGCTGACAGGTTGTAGGGTACACGGCTCCCAGTGTGGAGGAGAAAAGTAGAAGTTCAGCAGTAAAGCTCAGACTTGTTTTTGTCTGTGCAGGTTCTGAGTCATCCAGGTCACAGGCTAGATTAAGACTTGTTTAGGTCAACTTTTCTGATTTCATAACTATACTTCTAGTCAATTATGAAAGCTAGTTCACATCCTCTGTTCTCGTGACGTAGGCTCCATCAGCATCAGACAAAACAATCTCCCAGATAAATGACGGTACTTTTAAGTCCTGGGGTCATTCACAGAGAGCTGATATCAAAGAAGAACGTTTCTCCACGGATGCTGGGTGGTGAGTGACTCACCTGAGTTGGTCTACTTGATTGTTCATCTCAGTTAATGAGCATGCATTTGGTTATTTCTCTCTTCTTCTGCCACTGTCTCATCAGTGCTTTAACACTGTAAAGTATGCCTTTGTAAGAGGAGGCACGTAGCTCTGTGTCTGCTTTGTCCTAGACGTGAAACTATATTTAAATCAACAAGCTTGAGGTTTAAAGAGAAGCTCTGTTTTTCCCATCATGCAGACATGAAAACAAACAGACACACCAAAGAAAAACCTCCCAAAACGAACAGATGCACAGTGTGTTTCTGTAGGAAGGATTTCTACTGTCTATAAATTCACTCTTTTCTGTTATTATAACCTGATTATCTCGTGGAGTTTTAGATGATTTTATGAAAAAAAAATGATCAAGTGAAAGCATCGACTGATTTTAGGGCTTAAATCATCTCCACAGAGCTGGTTGTTATAAAAACTGAGCCAATTTAGGCTTTTTATGTCTCAGTGGTGACTGAGGACTCATGCACAGGATTAGGCCTTTAGTCTTGAGGACAGCGTCTTTCCTCTGACTGAAGCAAGCTGTAAAACAAATGAAATAATTGATGTAACACGTGATTATAATTACCTGGCTTTTATCTAATTAAGGTCATTTTTATAATGTATGTTTGGCGCTGGCATGAATTCAGACCGGCTATTCAAATGTTTGTACGTTAGAAAGCAAGTCTGCTTTACGAAACCTGATTATCGATCGTGTGTTTTTTGCAGCTGCCCCAGTTACACGTGTCCGTGGGATTGTTCTGCTGTGTGTAAATCTGTCTTCCTAAAACACAGAACATAAATCCTCTCTTGCGTTCATCTCAACACAAGCTTAAAAAGACAAACAAACAGATGCCTAACGCGTTTTGGTTTGTGAAATTCGATGACTTGTTTCCCGACTCCAATCCTTTTAAAGCGTAAATGAGAAGCGAGTACCAAGAGTGTCCCTGACAGCTTGTTTTCCACCCTCCTCCAGAGCGAGTCTCTGCCAGGCAGCCAGCTCCCAGCATTAGTTAAATCTGTGCATCATGCAGCTGTTTTGGGTAATGCAAACCAATAATTCTGTCATAATCTCTGCAGAGCTATCCATTTATATCTGAACTTTCTTTCCCACTTTTACGTGCAGAACCTCGATTACGGAGACTTCAGACTGAGCAGAATATATGTTCAGCAGGACAAACTACAGTCGCATGTACACAGTAAAATAACTGTCATGAGCAGTTTGTAAGTCCACAGTTTGTAGGTCATCCCTGGTTTGCCAGTATTTCGTTTCCAGGTTATTCAGTTCTTGTTATTTTTCGTAGTGCTTCTGTAGGTTCTTATGCTTTATTTGACAGCATTATTATTTGTATCTGGTCTTTTAGATCTTCCATTTTTTGTTGGGTTCTCAGTTATTTTGTCATTTCACGTACTGTTGTGTTTATTGTATTCTTCCAGTTTACCCAGCCTCCCGGTGTTTCCTGTGCATTGTCCCTCTTGTGTCTGTTGGGTTTGGATTTGCTTCCATTGTCTGATTAGTTGCAGCTGCATTCCCTGGTGTTTCCCATCGCCCTAATTACCATGTGTGTTTATAGCCCTGTCATAGTTCTTTGATGAATCATTCCTCATCCATCATCTACAACGGGTAAAGTACTATCTGAACAACTCACCAATTTTCAAAGTAAATATATTTCTAAAGCTGATGTTGACGTTAAATTCTCACCGGATGTCTGTAACAACCCATCTAATCCACATCCATAGAAAAAAATCAAACCATAGATGTCCATAAATGAAGTTATGTGTTTGCACAAAAGGCTTTGTTGGTCATACCAGCTTCCCCTCCTGTAAGGAGTAACGAGTCACACACATTCAGCTCAGCTGTGATTTTTGGCTCGTTCTTCCACAAAGTCTGCAGGTTGCTGCAGTTCTCCATGGATTCTCAGTTGGAGTCAGTTCAGGTGATCGGCTCGGCCATTTCAGCAGCTTTATTTTCATTTCTCTGAAACCAGAGTTTCCTCGGCTGTGTTTGGGATCACTGTCTCGCTGAAACATCCACGCTCGTTTCATCTTCATCATCCTGTTAGATGGAAGCAGATTTTTAGTCTCCGTACATTTTTCCATTCATCCTTCCTTCAATTATACGCAGCGTGCTGTATGCTGGAAAACAGCCCCTCACCATGATGTTCCCACCTCCAAGCTTTCCTGCTGGTGTTTTGGGGTGGTATTCAGCGCCCTTTCACCTTCAAACATTTTGCATCTAAATGTTCAGTTCTGGTCTCATCTGACCAGACTAAACTCTCAGGCATGTCTAAATGTTGTTCAGCAAACTTTAAACATATGCTTTACTTTCAGCAGTGGAGTCTTGTGTAGTGAGTGTGCGTACAGGCATGGTGGCTGAGTGTGTTACTTCTTTTGTTTTTTTTACTTTGAAATAATTGTACCTGCCGACTGAGGTCTTTCTGTAGCCACAGGTGCTCCCCGGCTCCTGGACTCTTTTGATCATTCTTTTCACTCTGTTTGAAATCTTGCGGGGAGTTGCTGCTCGTGGTCGGTTTAAGGGGAAATGATGTTTTTTCCACTTCCAGATTATGGCTCCAGCAGTGCTCAGTAGTTTAGAAACCAGTAACCGGTGCCATCAGTATGCTTTTTACCAATAAAGTTGCAAAGGTCTTGAGAGAGTTCAGTGGTTTTACCCATCGTGGGATGTTTTTTGGTAATGAAACACCTGTTTTAAGGACTGAACTAGATTATAGTCATTTGCACTAAGTGGCAGGATTGTGTTCAAACAGCTCAAAGAATTCATGATGTCCCTTTCCTCTTGTGTTCAGCACTTTCCCCCTGTGCCATTTCTTATTTTTATCTGTGGTTTGGTTTCTTTTCATGTGTGGACTGGTCGAGTTGTTACTGACATTCAGTTTCATGATAACAGCACCTTTAGAAATATATTTCCTTAGAAAATTGGTGTTCAATACTTATTCTGCCTACTGTATGTAAACCTCAGTTCTCACATGTTAACTGTTCATTTTTCTGGTTCTAAATAATTTGTGTGAAGAATCGCTGAACATGACAGTAATTTTGGTGTTGGTGGACTGGAAATGTTTATTTTTGGAGATACATGTTCAGGTTATTTCAGAAAGTAATGTTTTTGAATGAAAATCCAAAATTAAGTGTTTTTAATGATGCAGATAATTAGGACATGCCTACCTTTGCTCTGCTAGCAGTAAGTGAGTTTCCAAGATAAGAGTATGTCTGCTGCCCTGCTCTTGGATGGATGATGTAGTGTCTTCTTGCTAGCTCATTCAATGTCTCCTACAGATGAGCTAGAAGGGTTCGTTTCTATTTTTCAGGCTTTTCTCGCTTTTCTTCAAGTACCTTTATATATGCTCCCCCATTTAATTAAAAAGAACATTTATCTGATCTGGCTTGTTCAGTCCCAAAGCAGAGTGAAATAACTCTGCGAGACAGAGCAGCCCGAGATAACGAGTGAGCGCAAATGTAAAGGGATGTTAACATAATGACAAGGAAAAAATGGAGCTGAAGAAATAAAGAAGAGGCCTGTCGCCTGTTAAAGCCATTTCAGGTAACAATCAGCCTGTCAGTCAGATGCAAAGACAAAAAGAGACTGATGGGACCTGCTGAGTCACCGCCGAATCTCAGGTTTTGTTTACATTCCAAGAGCTTTTTTTTCCAGATAGAAATCATGCAATAATAATGCCTGTAATGATATTCAGTGTCGCAGCTGAACAAAGCTGTTATCATTACAAAACCCAGTGATTTTTCAGGTCTGCACACAAATGATTCAGCAGCGTTTCCCAAGAACAAAACGGTCACTGACAGAGGACGGGAGATGATAGCAAAACATTTGAAATTCAGATAAAATCTGAATCAATTAAATTTGTGGTGAATCCTCACAGAATAGATTGTTGGCATAAATTATTGATTAGATAACAGCCTCAGGCTTTGGAGCAATCTAATAATTGGCTGTTGTATAGCAATGGCTGCTAAAACTTTGTGGAACAGACGTCGATGGAGCAGAGCTCCTATTTGTGTCGGATTCACCGATCCCACTGCCACTCTTTACCTTAATGTTTCTGCACCTCCACTGTTGACTCAGAGCTTAAAATGAACCTCCCACAGTTTGCAGAAGAAAGGTTGCAGATAAAGGTGGGAGCTGCTCCTTTTGATGCTAATGATGTGAGAAATGGGTATCTGTTGCTTCTCTGTAATTGTGGGTCTCAGCATGGCTCAGTGCATTTCCGCTGAGCCCTGAGTTGTTTATCTGCTTTGAGCTGTTGTGATATTAACGTTTTTCCATCTCTTCTGCTCTTCTTCTGTTGTTTCCTGGAAGGTGTTGCCAGGCATACTGCAGAAGCATTGCTGTATCTTACCAGACAGGAACGCAGGTAAGGACCTAACAGATGTCCCCCTCTCCACTAATGACACCACTCACACACAGTGCTGAGATAGAAGGCGAGAGCCAGTCTGTGAGAGTAATGAGCAGGCTGTGATCCCGGGGAATGGCGACTCAGTGGGGGGGTCATATTTGTCTGCGTGCTCTACATCTCGGAGCTGACCATGTTTCTCACATAGTGTTGACCTGCCCTGACCTCACTGTTTGGCCACAAACTGCTCACTTTATCCTTCTTACATTAAATTATTCTTTTCCCACCTCACTGCTACCCCTAGCAACATTAACATGTGTCAGATCTGATGGGGTTCTCTGTGTGGATTAACTTTCTCTACCTACATGCCTGAGGGAAGGGAAAAGTTGGGGGAGCAGTTGTTGGAACGTGTGATGGTGATGGGCTTCTTCACATCGTTGCAGGTGTGAAGAGGTTGCTGATGAAATTGAAGAGCAGGGAGATATACTCAGGTACCTGGCCGCAGCTTTCACAATAATGACTTTTCTTCTACCTCTGTGTGCGTTTTTTCCTTCGACTGCACCGAGACTGCATGCACATGCATCCCACTAACAAAAGCTCATTAGTGCTACTCTCATGTGAATTTATCAGCGCCGTGGACATTTTGACACGTTAACATCAACTCCCTCTGCTGTTGTGCACTTTGTATCTTCTGTTTGTCTGACACATGGCTCGAAAGCTACCTGCCCGACTTTTCAAGGTGGGACCAGAGATGGGCAGTAACACGTTACTGTAATCCGATTACTTCGAGTAACGAGTAAAGCAAGGGATTACTATTGCAAAAAACAGTAATTAGATTACCGTTACTTTCCCGTAGGAATGCTGCGTTACTAAAACCGTGATTTTTTTTTTTTTTTTTTTTTCTCATGACAGTGAGGTAAGCAAGTGTGACGTTCGTGACAACAGCTGTGTGCAGATCAACAGTGTATCATATATAGAGTACGGGAGAGAGTATGAGCGTGCAGCGTTTAAAGTGTGGAAGTACTGACCTTTAAGTCTGATTCCATAAAAAGTGACAAAAACATTAGTGTCCGTTGTGCGTGGGAAGAAAACTTCTTTTTACAGCGACAAAAACCCCTAAACTTCCAAGCAAGCTCCGAGTGCACTACCACGTAATGGGAAATTCACAGAGAAACTGCCGTATCCTTCCACTGACCGCTGTGGCACACCTGCACCAGGGTAAACCTCCGCCTACCCCACTCCTGCTTTACAGGTGAAAATAGAGCAAAAGGACCGCTGAGTCTTTGACGTTATTTATTTTCTGCTGTGTTTTACTTGCATCTATTTGAAAGACTGAGTGTAAACACACACACAAAAAAAAAAAAAATTATGTGCTGGAATGTGCAGAAAATAAGTTTAAATATTAAACAAATTTCTTCCAGTCATAGAATGTTGCATATAATTAAATTTTTGCTTGATGCATAAAGTTAAAAGATTAAAACTAATAAAACAAGTTTTAAAAGGAGACTTTTCCATTTGATTACATTTTGTATGATGGATTATGTAGAAAAAGTAGAATTGAGCTGAGATCTATCGCTTTATCACCTATTCAGGTTGTAAATCATGTTTTTAAAAAGTAACTAAGTAATTAATTACTTTTGAAAATAAGTAATCAGTAAAGTAACGGGATTACTTTTTTGGGGAAGTAATCAGTAATTAGTTACTGATTACTTTTTTCAAGTAACTTGACCAACACTGGGTGGGACACATGTGCTTAAGAGTAGAGCGAGGGCACAGCAACCTTGGGGAAAGAGAGACCTGGCAACGTACAAGTTTCAGCTGATGGCCTGAGTTATAGCTGATCGCTGTGAGTGATTTGTTGCAGCGTGAAATTAATGTTTGATGGTCCATATAGACAAGATTATCTGCACTTAAGCAGATAAGGAAGTTTACAAACCTGTGAACCACTAGTTGTAGTTTTATTCTGAGCATAAATGTTCCACTCTCATCCATAGGATCTCCTTGCTCAAAGGATGCCAGATAGGTGATGCTTGCAGGCATGTGGCAGCCCTCTTTTTATATTAGGGAAATGTTTTTTTTAAAAAGAGTCAACGTCCACATCTTAATAAGTTGCTGTTAGTTGCTTGCAATCACCGTGTGAATATGGAGGACCCCCGGGACACACCTATGCGCTGGTCTTAGAACAAGGTGTCTTGACAGAGTGAGCACACATTAAAATAACCGTATAATAACCTTATTAATATGGATATCTCTGAAACCATTCCACTGAGGGTTCCAGAGACACTTGTCTGGGATACAGAGTTCATTTCATGATGTTTGCATCTGTGTTTGTGTGTCTACAGTACCTTGACAACAGTATTACTTCCCCCCCCAAAAACTCCATTTCATAAAAAACACAAAACAAAATGCACACACAGAAAAAAAGTCATTGCCTTTCTCTGCAAATGTCTTCGTTCTGAAAGATGGCGCTGTCAAGAAGACACAGTGCAGAGCGCTTCTCCTGAATCCTCGGCGGCGCCACATCAACAAACCTCTGATTTTCTGAGAAGCACCTCCACCAAAGTTCACCGATCATTCAGCCACAAGTTCCATCTCAAATGCGAGTCAGAGGTTTTGCAGATTAATGTCTACCTTGGCATCCTGTTTCCATGGCAACACAAGGTGCCAGTAGACGATACTGTATTTTGTCATCTCTCTAGCGACAGGACGATGTAGTGCTAGTGTGATTGCATATGCTAAACAGATGGCATAAATGAATACAGGCACTGAGTGAGGACGCTCTCCAGAGAGTTCGTCCGTACTGAGTCGGGCCGCCTGAGGTGCAGCGTGAGTGGAAACACTCGGTGTAGGGCTTGGATTAGAAGAGCACAGAGTAAGAAGGGCGAATGTTTCGAGGAGGAAGTAATGCCCATAAAAAGACTCATATCTCCAACACAGATGCTGCACTGTGTGTATGTGTGTTTTCGTGTCCTGGTGCATGCGCTCAGCTCTGGTATACTTCACTGAGCGAGGGGCGCCCTCTCCTGGGCGGCTTCACTCCTTGTGGAAATCCACCTCGTCCTCAGAAACACTTTTCTCATCTGTCCCCGGCTTCTGCTCAGTGAAAGCCGGTGCGTAGAAGCTGGAAGGATGAGGCTTATCGTAATCTGAGACTCTCACTGTTATCAGCGTGTCCCTCTGCTCCTGCAGTACTCCATGAGCAGAAGCCCTTGTGCTGATGAGCACTCAGCATTTCTATGCCACACATTCACAGATTTGTCCTATTTATAGACATTAATTAGCGTGAGACTGTTTCACCATTCATATCTGTACTCCTATTATCATCTCGTACTATCCCAGGTTTAAAGACACTTGCCAATTCGTACTCTGGCATTGTAACTAAACGCTCCTTTTATGTGATTCTCTATAAAACCTCCATATTTGACTTTAGCAACTGGTACATAAACTGGTTCGATCTTCACATCCACTGAATGAGTTTTAGGATGATTTTGTTGTAGATGGCATGTTTACGGTGTCTTGCATTGCTCTCGCTTTTCTCTCTTTTGCAAACATTTTACAATCGCTGAGGTTTGTGCAAAGCTTTCTTTCTGGGAAGCCTGTCTAATCAGAATCAGAATACTTTATTGATCCTTAGGGGAAATAATTTTTCATTACAGTGCTCCATTATAAACAAACATTAACAAAGACAGACAATACACTAACTAAGAATAGCACAATACATACATAAAAGTCACAACACACAAACGTCTATCAGCCTTTGCAGCGTTTGGACACTTAATGTTTTGCATTCATTCATATTTAGTTTCCTCGAGCTTCACGAGACTCTCTAACAGTATCTCTCTCTCTCACTCACTCACACACACACACACACACACACACACAGACACACACACAGCACACACACACACACACACACCTCCAGCAGACATTATACACAGTTTTTCAAAATTAGCTGTTAATAATAGTAATAAATATTCCTACGTATAGACGTGCACTTACCTTATTAAACACAATTTTAAATGCATGAATTGATAGCAGTAACACACACAAGCCCATCATATTTTGTATGAGAGCAGTAAGGAAAATCATTGTTATCATGGCATGTATAAAACAGACCAACTTTACAGCAGGTGTTATGTTAGAAAACATGTATGGGTGATGTACGGTCATCTACCAATCGGAAGGTTGAAGGATCAATTTCCCAGCTTTTTCCAGTCTGGATGTCAAAGCATCGTTGAGCACGATACTGAACCCTGATGCATCCGTCAGAGTGTGAATGTGTATTCAAATATCAGACTAAGTACAAGAGAGATGAAGACAAACAGCACCTGTATGAATGTGTGTATGATTGGGTGAATGAGGCTTGTTGTAAACAGTGCTTTGAGTGTTTTGGACTCAAGATGTTATTCGATTGGCAGAGAAGATTCTAAACAGTAAATTCATGCGTACACTTGAAATTGGGCACATTTCAAGTTCAAGCTATCTGCACCGCATGAGAAGTTTCTGACGCGTCTCCGTCTAAAACAGCTAAAGTCCCTGAACTACATGAGCTGATAGCATTACTCTTCACTTTATGTGAGTCACAGCATGTCCATCTTAATGCTTCTTGTCCCGCCTGAGCTTCTCCGTCCTGCTGTGAATCTCACTGACACCGGAGTGAATCAGCAGCTGCTCTGTTAGCTTTCGTAATTAACGGGCAGGCTGTCCCTTTCCGTGTGAGTGTGCCCGGCCTGTTTTCCTAAATGCGCGCACACACGCACTGGACACGTGCACAGCCGGCCGCTGCACACATGGTGTCCTTCAACACACTTGATATCAATCTGCAGCAAAGCGAGACAACGAGGGAGAGCCTGTCTCCTTCTGATGGCTCTCAGATACCTCGATGGCAGGTCTGTATATCACACCTGCTCATCAGAAGGAAACTCACAGAGAAAATTACTTGGAAAAAAATACAAATACTGCATTTTGAAAGGAGCTAATAAGTGAATGCTGACGGCATGTGTGTGCATGTGCACATGTTTGGACATCTTTCTGAGGACAAAAGTAGCATGCTAGTTTACTTGTGGGGACCAACGGTCACTTATGGTAACAAAACGCCCGTCACCCAACTTTGAAGGCTCAAAATGTGATTTTAGTGTCAGGGTTACAATTAGGTTTAGGCTGAGGGTTAGGACTTAGGGTTAGAGTAGCTAGGGAAAGCATTATGTCAATGAGATGTCCTCACTAAGATATGAAAGTGTGCGCGTGCTGGAGGACATCAGCAGCTTTCTCTTGCCTGCTAAACTCTCAGCTGCTATAGATTATTAAACCCGATTCTTTGATCCCCATGATAGAACAGAGAAAACCCGACTCGGTGGTCAAAACATTTATAATTCTTTATTCAATCATCTTCGGGAAGAGAGAGCCCTGCACGGCCCAAAGCCAGTTGCAGAATCTCTAACATTAGAAGCTAAAAATGTGTCTCTCATAGGTGTTATTTTGGTACTTTACACGTCACACACAGCCTCGATACAAACAACTCCTTATATGTTACTAGTTCCTGTTTTTATTTATATGCTTGTACAGCTCTACACTAACTTCCTGTTTTCCAGTCTGGCTGAGCACTTAGTCTGAGTCAAACTGGCCTTGCTTTACAAGCTTTTATTACTAAAATACATAAAACAATATAATCAGAAAATAAGCATTAACAATATGTTTATTCCTTAACAAGATGATAATGAGTCCTACACTATCTCCCCTCCTCAGCTTTTCCCACTTCCTACTGTTAGTCCAGACCCTCGACACTCGCCTCCTCCCACTC